GGGTTAGTTATGTTCTATTAGGGTTTAGTTTTGAGCGTTTAGAGAGTTTTAGGTGTCAAAACATTTTTTAGGATTTAGAATTTTAAGATATAGGCTTTATAAATCTATAATTAGTGGTATTTTTGTAAATGAAAACCCCTAAGTGGCATTCTTGCAAATGTGCACACAAAAAGTGGTATTTTTGTAATTGCCCATTAATTTATAGAGGTTCTACTGTATATCTTTTATAAATATAGATGAAGAAAAATGTTTGCACTTTTTGCAGCGCCGTCATAAATATTAATTTTGGAATATCTTGTCGGTGTTATATCCGCAATTTTTTTTCAAATTTCTATATCCGTAATTTTCTTCCAGTTTTTTGTTGTAACATGTAACGTATATCTTTCATAATATAGATGAAAAAAAATGTTTGCACTTTTTTGCGGTGCCATCACATGTATTAAGTTTGGAATATCTTGTCGGTGCTATATCCGCAATTTTTTTGTACATATTCATTATGGCGCCGCCGTTGTCGTTAACTTTAAAAATTCAGTTATTTCTATATCCGTAATTTTTTTGTTGTAACATATAACATATATTTTACATAAATATAGATAAAAATGAATGTTTGCACTTTTTTGCGACGCCTTCATAAATATTAATTTTGGAATATCTTGTTGATGTTATATCCGCATTTTTTCCATAATTGTGTTAAAACATAGAAAACATGTATTCGACAGTACATATTCATTATGGCGGAGCCATTTTCGTTAACTTTAAAAATTCAATTATTTCTATATCCGTAATTTTTCCAATTTTTTGTAACATGTAACGTATATCTTTCATAAATATAGATGAAAAAGAATGTTTACACTTTTTACGGCGCCGTCATAGATATTAATTTTGCAATATCTTGTCGGTGTTACATCCGCAATTTTTTCCAAATTTGTGTAAAAACATATAAAACGTGTATTTCTATAGTACATATTCATTATGGCGGCGCCGTTTTCGTTAACTTTAAAAAATTCAGTTATTTCTATATCCGTAATTTTTTCTATTTTTTTGTAACATGTAATGTATATCTTTTATAAATGTAGATGAAAAAGAATGTTTGCAATTTTTTGCGGCGCCGTCATAAATATTAATTTTGGAATATCTTGTCGGTGTTATATCCGCAATTTTTTCCCAAATTTGTGTAAAAACATATAAAACGTGTATTTCAATAGTACATGTTCATTATGGCGGCGCCGTTTTCTTTAATTTTAAAAAATTCAGTTATTTTTATATCCGTCATTTTTTTCCAATTTTTTTTGTAACATGTAACGTATATCTTTCATAAATATAGATGAAAAAGAATGTTTGCACTTTTTTACGGCACCGTCATAGATATTAATTTTGGAATATCTTGTCGGTGTTATATCCGCAATCTTTTCCAAATTTGTGTTAAAACATATAAAACGTTCGTTTCAATAGTACATATTTATTATGACGGCGCCGTTTTCGTTAATTTTAAAAATTCAGTTATTTCTATATCCGTAATTTTTTCTGTTATAATAGATAACATATATTTTACATCAATATAGATGAAAATGAATGTTTGTATTTTTTTCGGCGCCATCATAAATATTAATTTTAGAATATCTTGTCGATGTTATATCCTCATTTTTTTCAAAATTGTGTTAAAAAATAGAAACACATGGATTTCAATAGTACGTACATATTCATTATAGTGGCGCCGCAAATTACATTTATTTTCAAAAAATTGGTAAACAATAGTTATTTTACATATTTATCAAATGAATTATTTAAATAAAATAACATATATTTTCAGTTTATTTCTAATTTTATTTATACGCAAGAACTATTATAATAATTTAAAAACATTTAAAAGTGAGAAACTGTTTTCTTAATATTTATGACGTAATAAAAAAAAACTTTTAAGAAAGCTATAAATTATATTTTATTCATAGATATTGTCATAAATTTCAATAGAACACATGGCAACATGCAGTAAACCGGAAAAAAAAAATCCATCTTTTTATAGTTATATACATATGTAAAATATCAAAATCTATTATGAAATATTGAATCTATATTGCCATATAAAAAAGTACATTAATAGCAAAAAAATTATAAAAACCAAGAAAAAACAGATTACATGAACTTATCTATTGCCAGTGTTCAACACATGTCGATTAACGAAACCAGTAAAACTAAAATTCTCTAGTATTAGTGAAAAAGTAATGAGATAATTCAAACTAAATTAAGAATATACAGTTTAATTTCGTCGGTGACATTAATAACCATTGAAAGATATTTACGAGGAGAGGGTTAGGCACCGCCCTTGTACCCAAAAATAAGGCAAATAAACTGAAAGCTTTTTTGTACAAACACACAAAAATTTAATCGGATTTTATGACAAATGTTTCAATCTTAACTTTATCATTTAATTAGAACTAAACAAAAAAAATCTAAGAAAGCATACGTTTTTTTTGCTATTGATGACGCAAAAAATATAATAATAAGAAATTGAGATAAATAAATACGGATTCCATTGCATTGTTGTCTACAGGTTCTCCTCTTCTCATAAACCTAAAAGAGCCATTAGA